TGGCGGGGCGCGGTAGGCTAGGGTACGACGGGGCGGTAGGCTAGGGCAAGGGGCGAAAGTGGGTGGGCGGACCTAACCTACTATGATACCATGTTAGAATACGAGAATGACTAGAAGCAAGTGAGAACAAGAGAGATATAGGGTTGGAGTTGTACCCTCTAAGAACACACACCTATCTAGCCTATAACTTATACATACAACTATATGTATAAGTTGACACGCCACACCAATTGCAATCGTTTGATTGGTTGGTTGGATTGTGTCAGGTTTTTTAGGTGTGCGCAAAAGCTTTTGGACGGGGATGTTGTGCGTGGAATGTCTCTCTAGCCTAAATATGGAGGACTCGGCTGAAAATCCAAAGTTTTGCAGGGGGGCCGGAGGTGTTAGAATACTAGAATAAATAGAAACAAGAGAGAACAAGCAAGATATAGGGTTGGGTTGTACTCTCTAAGAACATACACCTATTCTAGCCTATAACTTCTACATGCAAACGTATGTATAAGTTGACACACCCCCCAGGTTAGATAAGGGGTAGTGCTAAGCAAGAAGCACACAACTCAGGGTGGCACTACTAGTCCAACCTCTGAGACAGGGGTCCGAAGACCAGTTAGCAAGAGAACAAACAAGACAATGCAAACCAGGGTGGCACTACTAGTCCAACCACTAGAAGAGGAACCACAAGGCAAGTCTAAAGGATATATATAAAGAGGAGTACACAATCAAGGTCCTAGCAAGTGAGAGTCTACAACAACTAGACCAAGCTGCAAGCAGTGCTGCTGATGATCTTTAGGCGCAAGCGCCTTAGTAAAGATATCAGCTGTGTTGGCACCGGAGGCCAAGTGTACTACGCGGGCCTGGCGACGCTTCTGTAGCTTATGCATGAGGAAGTACCGCATCTGGATGTGCTTCGCTCTACCCTCAAGTCGAGGCTCCTGACACAGGAGGATCATGGCCCTATTGTCAGCGTATAGAACACGGGCAGAGCTAGGCCACTCACCTAAGTCGGTGAGCAAGAAGGTCAGCCAGCGGAGCTCTTGTGCCGCCATGGCACCGGCGTAGATCTCAGCCTCACAGCTGGACTGGGCAACAGATGAGGAGCGAGTGGACCTCCACGATATGGCACCCAAACCAAGGCTAAACCAGTAGCCCTGGGAGGACCTGCGGGTCTCAACGTCGTCTGCCCAAGAAGCATCTGTGTGCCCAGTAAGGACCACTGGCCTGCGTCCTCCTAGCACTAGCCCCATGCCCGATGTACTCGCTAGATAACGCAATATCCTCTTAGATGCCGACTAGTGCTGTGGTCGGTGTCTGCCGGTGGCCACAATGTGAGCCAGGATGCTGAGAGGGTATGTGAGATCGGGATGAATACAAGTCATCAGGTACATGAGGCAACCCACCAGCTCTACTTAAGGACCACTGGGCTCTACTGACTCCTTTGGAACTGGAGCCGAGAGCATGTGGTCCATTGGCATAGGTATGGGCTGTGCGGAGGAGAACTGAAGACCGAACCTCTGAAGGACCTGGCGCACCAAGTGTAACTGTGGGAGAGTGATGATGCGCGTTGCTCTGTCCCTGGAGATATGCAGGCCAAGGCAGAGGTGCAGCTCTCCTAGGTCAGTGCAGGTGTGTCTCCTTAGTAGCTCGGCCTTCACGGAGGCCAGCGCGTCTCTGTCTGCAGTAGCAAAAACCAGGTCGTCTACGTAGACAAGGATGTAGATCAGAGTCTGGCCAGCACGAACGAAGAGCGAAGGGTGTGCAAAAGATGGAAAGAACTGCAGGTGAACTAGTGTAGCATGCAGCGTATCGTGCCACTCAAGGGGCTCCTGTCGCAGGCCGGACACCAAGCGGCGGAGGAGCCATTGGGGCCTAGGAGGGAAGGTATCGGTGAAGCCCTGCGGATGGCGGGTCGGTAACGAGGGAGGCAAGGACCCGAGGCACAAGAGGACGAGCATCACGAAGGTAGTCAAACAGAGGGGGAGGTGCAACAGCGTGCGACGATGGAGGAGGGGAGGACGAGATGCGTGGGAACAAAGCAACATAGGGTGAGAACGCGGAACAGGAGAGACGGGACGAGCTTGAGAGGGACGGCGAGACCAAACGTGACACGGAGGCGTCGGGTCAGGAGACCGTGGAAGAGTAACAGGAAGGGAACGAGGTGGGAAACAGGTAGGGGACGAGTCCGGCAGAGGAAACACAGGACCGTGGACAGGAAGGGGAGGAGGCGGCAGGGGAGGCGCAGGCGAGCGGTCGGGGGGGGGAAGCCGGAGCAGGCGAAGGGCGGACACCGGCGGCAACTGCTGCTGCTGCTGCTGCTCGACACCGACAACTGGACTGCCAGGTGCACCGTGAGTACCTCCGGAACACTCCACTCCAGCACCCCCAGAACGAGCACCCCCAGAGCAAGAACCCTCTCCAGCACCGGTGCCACCCCCGAGCCCGCCGGGACAAGCCACGACAGAAACCCCAGGACTAGCACCCTTCTCAATGCCAGCACCCCAAGAGTCCACGAACGGCTGCTGCTGCTGCGACGGTGGTGGCTGCGGCGGCGACGACTGCAACGGTGGAGGAGGAGACACCGGGGGAGAGATAGGCGGCAAGAACTGCGCCGTAGGGCCACCAGAGTCAACCGACTCCTCGACCGGGACAACCGACGGGAGGGGAGTGACGTGAGAGACACCAGACGGAGCAGGACGGGGAGGAAGGTGAGCAAGGGCTACCGAGGGAGTGGGGACCAGAAACAGGGGAGGGGAAACCGGGGGACCTCGGTGGGGAAAGCGGTGGTAAAAGGAGACAGACTCGTTGAAAGTGGCATTAGGGGAGTGAAAAAAGCGGTGAGACGGCGGGTGGTAAAAGTTCCAGTCAGAGGAGTCCAGGGGGAAACCGAGGAAGACACAAGGGACATTGCAAGCTGTGAGCTTGTCCATGCAGAAAGTAGGGACGCGAGCGAGGCAGCCCAAGACATGGAACGCGGATGCGTCACGAGGGAACCCGGTCCAAAGAAGGGTCGGTGAAACCTGCGGCCGCTAGGAGCGGGTCTAGTGGTTAAGCTGGTGAGCAGCGTAGCGAACGGCGAACGGCCAAAGAAAATGGGGTGCACTGGCATAAATCATGGAGGTACGAGCCACTTCCATGTCCAAACCGATGTGTCACTCAGCAACCCCATTCTCCTACGGGGAGTCTTGTTGGGTGTACGACTGGGTGATGCCTTTTGCATGGCAGAACTGTCCAAGCCGACCAGAGACGAACTCACTACCATGGTCGGAGTGGAGACACAGCACAGGGAGACCGCGGTGGAGGCGCGCAGTTATGATCCACAGGATAAGAACGTCGGGCACGTCGGCCTTCCACTCCAAGAGAAACACTGTGGTGTAGTGCGTGTAGTCATCAACAAGCACTAGAAAGTAGTGCTCGCGACACGGTCCAGGGACGGGGGTTGGGCCCCAGACGTCCAGGTGTAGGTTCTGGAGGGGTGCGGTGGCGGGACGAAGCGAGGAGTTAGGAGCACGGCGCAACCGTCCCTCGACGCAGGGCGTGCACGGCGGCACAGGCGAGGGAGGTAGGGCAGGAAGCGACACAGGGAGACGTAGGACGAGACCGTGCTGAGATATGTGACGCAGACGCGGGAGTGCAGGGTGACCTAAGTGGTGGTGCCACAGAAGCCCTGGGAAGATCAACAAGATAGGCGGCGATGACGATCGCGTGCCCCTCCACGTCCAGACGTAGCATGGCTTCCGCCATCGCGCAACCTCAGCGGCACGGGGACACAGCGGCACACCAGACAGGGACACAGCAGCATAGCGGCACAGGGACACACGTACTCAGCTGCACGGCGATACAGCGACGTGGCGGCTGGGTTCTCCGGAACAGGGACAGGGCGCGCGAGGAGCCAGAGGGCGCACAAGGGGGCCGAGGCGCACGAGGGGCCAGCCAGGCTATAGGGGCCAGCTAGGCGGTAGGGGCCGGCTAGGCGGTAGAGGGACCGTCGGCCGTGCTAAAAGGGGCCGGCTAAGCTCGAAGGGCCGACTAGGAACGAGGGGGCGGTGGGGGCGCGAGGGGCCGGCTGGGCGCGCGGGGCTGGCTGTGCGCGAGGAGCTGGCTGGGCGCAAGGGCCCGGCTGGGCAGGAGCGGCCGGCGACAGCGCGAGGGGCCGTTTAGGGCGCGAGGGGCTGACTACGGTGCTAGGGGCTGGCTAAAGTGCTAGGGGCTGGCTAGGTGTGAGGGGCCAGCGACGGCGCGAGGGGCGTGCGACGGCGCGAGGAACCGGCTGCGGCGCGAGGGGCCAGCTAGGGCATGAGGGGCTGGCTAGGGGGCGAGGGGTCGGCTACGGCGCGAGGGAGCCGGCTAGGCACGGGGTGCCAGCTACGGCGCGAGAGGGGCCGGGTAGGCGCGATAGGGGTCGGCGAGGCGCGGAAGGCTAGGGCATGGGACGGAAGCGGCTGGGTGGACCTAACCTACTCATGATACCATGTTAGAATACCAGAATGAATAGAAACAAGAGAGAACAAGCAAGATATAGGGTTGGGCTGTACAATTAAACAATACACCTATTCTAGCCTATAACTTCTACATGCAACGTATGTATAAGTTGACATGAGGATCATCACTTTTTGTGAGGACTTAGCTGAAAACTAGGCGTTTCTAGGAGTATTGGAGAAACATCTCTAGTATAAATGACTGAGCCGAAATTCAGTTGTTGCAGGGGGGTTTGGAGGATTGTCTCTTGGCATTAGGACTTCGCCCATGCGGAGTGCGTAGGTGGGAGGGTTGTCTCAAAATATGGGGAACTTAGCTGGAATTAGTGTTCAGGGTACAGCTGTTAGAATACTAGAATAAATAGAAACAAGGGAGAACACGCAAGAAATAGGGTTGGGTTGTACTCTCTAAGAACATACACCTATTCTAGCCTATAACTTCTACATGCAGAATGTATGTATAAATTGACACACCCCCTAGGCTAGATAAGGGGTAGTGCTGAGCAAGAAGCACACAGCTCAAGGTGGCACAACTAGTCAAACCTCTGAGACAGGGGTCTGAAGACTAGTCAACAAGAGTACAAACACGACAAAGCAAACCAGGGTGGCACTACTAGTCCAAACACTGGAAGAGGAACCACAAGGCAAGTCTAAAGAATATATATAAAGAGGAGTACACAATCAAGGTCCTAGCAAGTGAGAGTCTACAACAACTAGACCAAGCTGCAAGCAGTGCCGCTGATGATCTTTAGGCGCAAGCGCCTTAGTAAAGATTGTTAGGATTAAGGACGGAGTCTAGGTGAACTTAGGAGCTAGAATTACTCAAAATATAAATCCGAAATTCTGGACAGAAAAGTCGTCTTCACAAGAAACGACGTCGACAAACAACTAGCCGTTGGAATGTCGCGAAACTTGGATATGTTGTAGCTCTTAATCTCAGCTACCGTTCCCAATTTGAATCATGTTGATTGATAAAGTATTCGCGACGCTATGGCTTTCGACGCATTAGGGGGTAAGCTGTAGGAGGAGAACTTAACTCAATCTCAAGAGTTCAATCAAAGTTCAAGAATCTCACAAGGAATTAGAAGGAGCAAGAGAAAGGTTGGGATAGGAAGAGAGGGATGAGAGGGAAGGTCCCAAGAGAGTCCCCAACCAAGGAAACCCCATAAGCACAAAGATTCCCTCCCTATAGGAACCTCAACTTTGACCTTTGTCCCTTCCCAACCAATCCATCCAAGTTGGCCACCCTTGCCAACCTAGCTTGGTTGTTCCCAACCTATTTGCAGCTGTTACAGTAGAGTGACAAGTTTCCCCAACCCCAAAGGTCCCAACTCCATATAAAGTCACCCCACAACTTCACTTAGTAACCGCCGCAATTGTAACGCAAGCTCATGAACTTTGAATCTTCATAGCTTTCGCGTTCTTGCTCCGATTGAAGCGATTCTTGTTGCGTCGGAAAGATCTTCTCAAGATCTATCATCACAAATACCTGCTCAAACAAAAATAATACAGAACACATTCCCAAACTCCAGAACACACACCACACAAATGCTTGCACATTCAAACCACACATGCAAGTTGAAAACATGGGATGGGAGGCAGACAGAATGTGATAGCATATGATGACATCACACAACAATCTCCCCCTCTGGCTGCCAACCATCAACCACCATACCAACATCTCAAGCATGCATACTCAATGCACACTCATTCCAGCAAGCTTCATGCCTTTCCAATGATCCGCCTCCGCCAGACGCTTAGTGAAAATATCTGCTGCCTGCTGATGGGTCTTCACTATCTCCAGCCGCACCTCCTTATCAAGGATTCTCCTCACCCAATGCCACTTAGGCCTTATGTGTTTTGTCAGCCCATGCAGACAAGCATTCTTGGCGAGCTTCACAGCGGACTCATTGTCACAAAACACAACTGTCGGCTTCTCCTGACCAACTCCCAACTCCTCCAACAAACGCCTTAGCCACACTACTTCCTTGGCCCCATGGTGTAAGGCCATGTACTCAGTCTCACATGAGGACAATCCCACCTCATTTTGCTTCTTGCTGCGCCAGCTCACAGCACCACCTCCTAGCAAGCACACATAACCCCCAATGCTGGTGCCATCCGCTTTCACTGAGTTGAAGCTAGCGTCAGTATAGCAACTCAAGAGCATCTTTCCACTCTTCACATCTGCAGCACCTCTCTGCAACCGCTGCCTCACTCCACTGTACTCCAATCCCACTGATGCCGTAGCACTCACATAGCGGACCAACCTCTTGGCCGCTTCCAGCTGCTCATGACTAGGGCGTGAGACCACACTAGCCAGTCGTGATGTAGCAAATGCAATGTCAGGCCGTGTATGATTTGCAGCATAATTCAGCGACCCAACCATTGAATGAAACAGCTTCCTGTCACTCTTACCCACTACCTCCTCATCAGCACATGGCCCCACAGTAAACCCTGAAGGTAGTGGTGTTGCTGGCTTTCCCCCATCTTGCAGCCCATACTTCTCAGCCAGCCCCTCACAGTACTTCCTCTGGTGCAACCTCAGCACACCCTTTTCCACATCTCTCTCCACATGCATCCCCAGGTAGTACTTCACCTCACCCATCTTGGAGCACTTGAACTGCATCTCCAGCATCTGCTCTGCGCTGTCCAGCAAAGCAGTTGATGCAGAAAAGAGAAGGATATCATCCACGTACACCAAGAGCATGAGGATTTCATCCTTCTCCTGCAGCAGGAACAGGGTGGGGTCACACTCACTCTTCTTGAAACCCCCAGCCAACAGCGCCTCCTCCAACTTGTGATACCATGCACGAGGCGCCTGCTTAAGGCCATAAATGGCCTTCTTCAGCCTGCAGACCCTGCCGCTCCCATCATCCAGCCCCTCTGGCTGCTTCATGTACACCTCCTCCATAATGATCCCATTCAGAAAAGCAGTCACAATGTCCATCTGCCGTATCTTCCATCCCAGGAGTGCAGCTATCGCCAACAGCACCCTCAGTGTTGTTCCTTTCCCCACAGGAGCAAACACCTCATCATAGTCCTTCCCTTTTGTCTGCTGAAACCCCCTTGCCACAAGCCTGGACTTGTAGCGGGTCAGCTCCCCTTCAGGTCCATACTTGTGCCTGTAGATCATCTTGGAAGTGATTGCCTTCTTTCCAGGAGGCAAGTCACACAGGTCCCATGTCTCGTTCTCAATCAGGGACCCAAACTCCTCATCCTCACTCGCCTTTCACTTCTCCCCATTTGGTCCATTCAAGGCCTCTTCTCGAGTCTTGGGCTCAGGGATTGGTGCCCAGTAGCAGTGAGCGATCTCATCTTCCTCAATCTGCTCAACCACACTCCCAGCCTGCACCACATTTGGCTTGCCTCTTCCCCCATAGGTCAGCCTCACAGGAGGGCGCACATCCCTCCTAGGTCGCTCAGGCGGGTGTGGAACTCGAGGTGGAGACTCATGTTGCTGTTGCTGCTCCACTTCAGCTGCTCCCCCTTCCTTAGTCACCCCAAACATCTCCTCCTCTGACACTGCAACCTCCACCTGTCTTGAAGGCTGCTGCACCTCATCTGCCTCCACAATGAGCGGTGTAGATGGAAGCTTCTGTTGCTGCTGCTTCCATTCCTTGTAGTACAGGGACTCAAGAAACTTCACATCCCTTGACACTGTCAGCTTCTGGGTGGTCAAGTCCCATAGCAGCCATCCCTTGTGATCCTTTGCAATCCCCAAGTGCACACCCCATCTTCCAGAAGCCTCCAACTTCCCTCTTTTTTCCTTAGGCACATGAAACACTACCATGCACCCAAATGCCCTCAGCATGTTCACAGCTGGAGCACTCCCATACCACTTGACATATGGGATCCACTCCTTATCTCCAACTGTAGCCAGCACCCTGTTCTTCACAAGGGCGACCTGCCTCAGTGCAGACACCCAAAACGGATCAGGCAGCCCTGCACGCCCAAGGAGAGTGCGTGCCCCCTCCTGCAGGGTCCTGTTGAACCTCTCAGCCACGCCATTCTGCTGCGGATTGTAGGGCACTGTCAGTTGATGCTGGATCCCCTTCCTCTTCAACTCCCCCTCAAAATCAGCTCCAATGAACTCCCCACCATTGTCACTGCGGATCACCTTCACCTTGTGTCCGCATTCCCTCTGAGCTCTAGGCATCCACTCCTTAAGGACAGCCGCTGCCACCTCCCCCTTGCTGTTCAAAGGGTAAACCCACACTGCCCGAGTGTGGTCATCCACAATTGTCAAGAAATAGCGGCTGCCTGAGAGGGAAGGGGCTCTTGTGGGCCCCACCACATCCATGTGCACAAGTGCAAGTGGGGTCTTGGTTGGTCCTGTTGCACTGTTGAAGGGGAACTTGGAGAACTTGGTCTCCAAGCATGTAGGGCAGCTCCCAATCTCCTTCACTCCCCCTTTCACCTCCAAGCCCTTCAGGCTCCCATCCTTCACCAACTTCTGTAGCATAGGGAAGTTCACATGACACAGCCTCTCATGCCATGTCTCCCAATCGGCCTCTCCACTCCTTGATGAAGCCTTAGCCCATGCCGCACTCGCATCCACACCAGCAAGCACCTCGCCATGTGTCTGCTGCTGCTGCACTTTCTTGACTGCTTCCAGGACCCCATCAGTTGGTGCAGTTGCATCTCCTCCTGCTGTTGCCTTTGCCGCTGCTGCCGTTGCTGTTGTTGGAGTCTTCCCATTCCAAGGGATGATGGGCAGCTGCCATAGGTCCTTGATGCAGCTGGTCTCCTCTTCCAGACTCCACAGCACCTTCTTCCCAAGCTTAGCACGGCAGCTGGTTGGTCCAAAGGTCACTTCGGCCTTGCTCTTCTGCAGTCGCCGCACAGAGAGAAGGTTAGCAGACAAACCTTCAACTAGCAGAACATTCCCAAGCCCCACAAGCTCCCCATTAGCTCCCTTAACCTTGGCATTCCCAATACCAATCACGGGGAGCAAAGCACCTGACGCTGCTGCCACATACTTGATCTTCCCAGGGGGTTTTACCTCATCAAGCAAATCTGCCCGTGGGGTCATGTGACTGGTGCAACCCGAATCAATCACCCAGTGCGTGAGAGGGTGCATCACAACCTTTCCCACAGATCCCACATCACCCTCATGCCCATGCACATCCTCAACCATAAGAAACAAACCAGGATAGGCATTACCTTGTGCACCTTCACCTTGTGCACCTGAGCCTTGCACAGCGCCACCTTGTGCGCGTTCACCACTGGGCGGCTTCATGCCTGGAGGTGACCATCCCTCCGGCCTGCTGAAGCACTTGAACCAAGGATGCCCGACCTTCTTGCAGTACCAGCAGGTGCCCTCCATTCTGGTACTCCCCCTGCCACTGGAGCTCCCATGCCCCTCATTATAGTCACCTCGGCCTCTACCTCTGCCAAAGCTCCTCCCACGGCCTCGGCCTCTCCAACCCCCTCTTCCTCTGCCGCGCCCTGCAGCTCCATACCCCTCAGCAGTCTTAGTGGCAGCACCGCCTCCCACATGGCGTCTGCGGAAGTCCTCCTGCAGAATCTGCTGCCTTAGCCACTCAGGTGTCCATTGATCTTGCTGAGAGTTGAGGGTGGGGATGAGGTTGTCCCAAGAGTTGTCCAACACCGAGATGATCTTGGTGCACTGCTGCAGCTGAGATACACTGCTGCCCGCTGCTGCCATCCTTGCATAGGTGTCCTTGATCTTGTCAAGGACCGGCTTCACATCGTCCCCTGGTCGCATGGAGATGGCAGCAAGTTCCTTCTCGAGCACGATCACCATCAGGAGAGTGTTGGGCTGAATCACATCGCGTAGTAGTTTCCACGCCCTTGGACCCGAATCATCCGCTTCCACAAGATCCTTGATGTGCTCGAACATCTCCTTGTTGACCGATTGAAGGATGAGGTCGAAAAGCACCGTGCTTTTCTCAATCCACCGTTCACGTGCTTCGCCTTCTTCCGGCATCTTCTCTTCCCCAACAGCAATCTTCAGTAGCTTGTAGCGTTTGAAGGCACTCCTCATCCGTCCGCTCCATTCCTCATAGTTGGAGCCATCCAAAGCTTCAACTTTTGATGGCGGCGGCTCACTTGTCTTCTCAGCTACAGCTCCTCTTCCATTAGCATCTCCTCCTCTCTCATTCATCTTCTCCTTGAGAAATGACGAATTTCAGCTCCCCTTTGCTGTCCACACTCAGCTCCCTCGATATTTTCACAAGTGTCGGCGTCCACGAAATTTCGGCAGAGTTTCCCTTAGCGGAAGACACATCCAACCTTTAGAACACCACTTAGGCACACCCACAGGCCATGGTGGGTCTAGAAGGGTCTTCACACTTCTGTAGACTCCTCTCAACGTCCTTAATACAGCTCTGATACCACTTGTTAGCATTAAGGACGGAGTCTAGGTGAACTTAGGAGCTAGAATTACTCAAAATATAAATCCGAAATTCTGGACAGAAAAGTCGTCTTCACAAGAAACGACGTCGACAAACAACTAGCCGTTGGAATGTCGCGAAACTTGGATATGTTGTAGCTCTTAATCTCAGCTACCGTTCCCAATTTGAATCATGTTGATTGATAAAGTATTCGCGACGCTATGGCTTTCGACGCATTAGGGGGTAAGCTGTAGGAGGAGAACTTAACTCAATCTCAAGAGTTCAATCAAAGTTCAAGAATCTCACAAGGAATTAGAAGGAGCAAGAGAAAGGTTGGGATAGGAAGAGAGGGATGAGAGGGAAGGTCCCAAGAGAGTCCCCAACCAAGGAAACCCCATAAGCACAAAGATTCCCTCCCTATAGGAACCTCAACTTTGACCTTTGTCCCTTCCCAACCAATCCATCCAAGTTGGCCACCCTTGCCAACCTAGCTTGGTTGTTCCCAACCTATTTGCAGCTGTTACAGTAGAGTGACAAGTTTCCCCAACCCCAAAGGTCCCAACTCCATATAAAGTCACCCCACAACTTCACTTAGTAACCGCCGCAATTGTAACGCAAGCTCATGAACTTTGAATCTTCATAGCTTTCGCGTTCTTGCTCCGATTGAAGCGATTCTTGTTGCGTCGGAAAGATCTTCTCAAGATCTATCATCACAAATACCTGCTCAAACAAAAATAATACAGAACACATTCCCAAACTCCAGAACACACACCACACAAATGCTTGCACATTCAAACCACACATGCAAGTTGAAAACATGGGATGGGAGGCAGACAGAATGTGATAGCATATGATGACATCACACAACAAAGATATCAGCTGTGTTGGCACCTGAGGCCAAGTGTACTACGCGGGCCTGGCGGCGCTGCTGTAGCTCACGCAGGAGGAAGTACCGCAGCTGGATGTGCTTCGCTCTGCCCTCAAGTCGAGGCTCCTTACACAGGAGGATCATGGCCTTGTTGTCAGTGTACAGGATCCGGGCAGTGCTAGGCCACTCACCAAAGTCAGTGAGCAAGAAGGTCAGCCAGCGGAGCTCTTGTGCCGCTATGGCACCGGCGTAGATCTCAGCCTCACAGCTAGACTGGGCAACAGATGAGGAGCGAGTGGACCTCCACGATATGGCACCCAAACCAAGGCTAAACCAGTAGCCCTGGGAGGACCTGCAGGTCTCATCATTGTCTACCCAAGAAGCATCTGTGTGCCCAGTAAGGACCACTGGCGTGCGTCCCCCTAGCACTAGCCCCATGCCCGATGTACTCGCTACATAACGCAGAACCCTCTTAGCTGCCGCCCAGTGCTGTGGTCGGTGTCTGCCGGTGGCCACACAGCGAGCTAGGATGCTGAGAGGGTATGCGAGATCGAGACGAATGCAAGTCATCAGGTACATGAGGCAACCCACCAGCTTTGCGTAAGGACCACTGGCCTCTACTGGCTACTCAAGAACTGGAGCCAAAAGCCTATGGTCTACTGGCAGAGGTGTGGGCTGTGCGGAAGAGAAATGAAGACCGAACCTCTGAAGGACCTGGCACACCAAGTGTGACTGTGTGAGAGTGATGGTGTGCGCTGCTCTGTCCCTGGAGATTTGCAGGCCAAGGCAGCAGCGCAGCTCTCCTAGGTCAGTGCAGGTGTGTCTCCTCAGTAGCTCGGCCTTCACGGAGGCCAGCGCATCTCTGTCTGCAGTAGCGAAAACCAGGTCATCTACGTAGACAAGGATGTATAACGCAGTCTGGCCAGCATGAACGAAGAGCGAAGGTTCTGCAGAGGATGGAAAGAACTGCATGTCAACTAGTGTAGGACACAGCGTGTCGTGCCACTCACGGGGCGCCTGTCGCAGGCCGTAGACTCGGCGTCGGAGGAGCCACAGGGTCCTACGAGGGAAGGTACTAGTGAAGACCTGCGGTCGGCGTAGGTAGACCTGCTCGTGTAGGCTGCCCTGAAGAAAAGCAGTGGAGAAGTGTAGGGAATGGAGCTTGTAGCACATAGCGCGCCTTGAAGACAGGCGGCTCTCCAGGGGGGTGCTTCACTTTGAAGAGCCATCGGCCGTCGACTACGTTCAGCCCAGGTGGGGGAACTGCGTCGACGTAGGTGCTGGTGGATCTCCAAGATGCCATCTCCTGCTCCATGGCAGCTATCCACTCAGAGGCCAAGGGTCCCGAGGTCACCTCAGTGTAAGTGCGAGGGGTCTGGATGTCAAAGGCGTTTGGGTCACCCTCAGGGACTAGCAGCATGGAACAGAGATGGGAAGCAGCCTCTGACAAGAAAGCAAGCTCGTACTGCCTGTCCTCTAGGACGTCATTGCCAAGGGCAGGAGCACCCCCGACGGATGGAGGGTAGACATGGTCAGAGACCAGAGGGGGAGGTGCGACAATGAGCAATGACGGAGGAGGAGAAGGCAGGAGGGGAGGAGGAGACACATGGGAACAAAGCAACATAGGGTGAGAAAGCGGAACAGGAGAGATAGGACAAACCCGAGAGGGACGGCGAGACCAGAGGTGAGACACAGGCCTCGGGTCAGGAGACAGAGGAGGAGTAGCAAGAGGGGAAGGAGGTGGGAAACGGGCCGGGGATGAGCCCGGCGGAGGAAACACAGGACTGTGGACAAGAAGGGGAGGAGGCGGCAGGGGAGGCGCAGGCGAGCGGTCGGGGGGGGGAAGCCGGAGCAGGCGAAGGGCGGACACCGGCGGTGACTGCTGCTGCTGCTGCTCGATGCCGACACCTGGACCGCCAGGTGCACTGCGACTACCTCTGGAACACTCCACTCCAGCACCCCCAGAACGAGCACCCCCAAAGCAAGAACCCTCTCCAACACTGGTGCCACCCCCGAGTTCGCTGTGATAAGCCACGTCAGGAACCCTAGGTTTAGCACCCTCCTCAACGCCAGCATCCCCAAAGTCCACGAACGGCTGCTGCTGCTGCGACGGCGGCGGCTGTTGCGGCGTCGACGGCGGCAGCTACTCCGACGGTGGAGGTGGAGACACCGGGGGAGAGACAGGCAGCAAGAACTGCGCCGCAGGGCCACCAGAGTCAGCCGACTCCTCGAATGGGACAACCGACAGGAGGGGAGTGACATGAGACACACTAGACGGAGTAGGACGGGGAGGAAAGTGAGCAGGGGCTACTGGGGGAGAGGGGATCAGAAATAGGGGAGCGGAAACCGGAGGACCTCGGTGGGGAAAGCGGTGGTAAAGGGAGACAGACTTGTCGAAAGTGGCGTCACGAGAGTGAAAGAAGCGGTGAGACGGCGGGTGGTAAAAGTGCCAATCAGAGGAGTCCAGGGGGAAACCAAGGAAGACACTGGGGACAGTGCGGGCAGTGAGCTTGTCCGTGCCTGAGGCACGAACGTGAGCAAGGCAGCCCAAGACGTGGAACGCGGACGCGTCACCAGGGAACCTTGTCCAAAGAAGGGTCGGCGAAACGTGCGGCCACTGGGAGCGCGTCCAGAGGTTAAGCTGGTGAGCGGCGTAGCGAACGGCGAACGGCCACAGAAAATGGGGTGCACCGACATGAATCATGGAGGTACGAGCCACCTCCATGACCAAGCCGATGCGTTGCTCAGCAACCCCTGTTTTCTGCGGGGAGTCCGGTTCGGTGATGCCCTTCGCACGACAAAACTATCCAAGCCGACCAGAGGCGAATGTGCCGCCACGGTTGGAGTGGAGACACAGCACAGGGAGACCGCGGTGGAGACGTGGAGCTACGATCCACGGGAAAAGAACGTCGGGCATGTCGGCCTTTCGCTCCAAGGGAAACACAATAGTGTAGCGCGTGTAGTCATCAACGAGCACTAGAAAGTAGCGCTCGCGACGCGGTCCAGGGACAGGGGCTGGGCCCCAGAGGTCCATGTGCAGGGTCTGGAGGGGTGCGGTGGCAGGGCCAAGCGAGAATGAGTGAGGAGCATGGCAGAGCCAGCCCTCGACGCGGGGCATGCACGTCGGCGCAGGCGAGGGAGGGAGGGCACGAAGTGATGCAGGGAGACCTAGGACGAGACCATGCTGGGACAGGTGACGCAGATGCGAGAGCTAGGGGTGAGTTAGGGGTGCCACAGAAGTGACAGGTGAGTGAGCGACCGACACGAGCACGCAGCGGCAACCTAGGTAGACGCAGAACTCGGTGAGGACGCCCCACCCGGGGGAGAAGCAATGTCCAGCGTAAAGAGGCCAGACACCGGGTCCCGGGGGAACGTCGCAAGAGGGGAACCTGAGGCGGCCTCGGTACAGATGGCGTACCGCTTGTGACCAAGGAACATAGTGGTGACGCCGAGGTCCTGAAGACAGCCGACAGCGACTTAGTTCCAGGAGAACGAGGGGATGTGCAGGCCTGTAAGGGAACCCGAGGGGACCGCTGGACAGGAAAGGGTAGTGTAGCTGCGAGCAACTACAAGACCAGAGGAGGGGTCAGCATGTGTGACAGCGGTAGGCATGGCAAGCGGCGTTAGTGCAGCGTGGTCGCGGAAGAAGCAAGCTGACGCACCGGAGTCAAGTGTGAAGGACAGTGAAGCAGTAGCGGCAGACGAAGGAGGAGCGAGTGTGGAGCCTAGACTGAACAAAGCAATCGGTCCTACGCCTGATGCAGCAGGGGTCTCTATACTACACACAGGTGCTACGCTTAAGCTAGAGAACACAGGGTAATAAGATCCGGACACACTAGAAGCGTCAGCATACAGAGAATGCAAGGCGGAACTAATCTGATCCATGTTTTCGTAAAAAACAGGCACACCATTGCGCAACAGACTGGGCCAGTCAGGGAGGTCCGGGGCCGGGCCGAAGCGACGACGAAAGAGATTGTCGAGGCGGCGGAAGCAACGGGCGATCGCGTGCGGACGGCGGCACAAAGTGCCACAAAGGGGCCCGTTCTGGAGCTGGTACTGGCAGCCCACAACACTGAAGTCGCCGGTAGACGCCGTACTGCGAGGAACGCCACCTCGGCCACTCCCTCCAGGGCCCGGCGGGAGGTGGGCCCATGGTTGCTGCTGCTGCTGCAGCTTCTGCTGCGATGGCTGCTGCTACTATTGCTCCTGGACGCCTTCACCAGCCCCCTTGTCCGGGCCACTGTCGCCGCCACCACCACCACCACGCCCTCGCTTGGGGCCGTGACGGCCTCGATGCTGTTGCTGCTGCTGCGGGAAGGCCGCCGCTAAGGTTTCAGTGGCAGGAGCAGCCGTAGCGACTGCAGCGGAAACGTCAGCATATGTGCAGTGGGAGGGAGCACAACCCTGAAAGATAGGGACTGCCGCAACACCGCTCGACTGAGCGATAGTGCGCTGGCGAGTCTCTATCTCAGAAAGGGCAGCGACAAAAGTGGACACGGTGAGGTCACTAGGGTGCTGGCTAAGAAAGTGGTCGCGGGCAGTGGCTAAGCGGTCAGGCAGGCGCATGGCAATAAGGTACAGGGTAGCGCAGAATGGCGGGGGGAAGGCATTGAGTTGGGCAGTAGTGCTAGCAGCGCGGTAGCTAGTCTCTAGTGCACAGAGGTGAGTGGCGAGATCAGCGACAATGGGGAAAGCAGAGAGATCAGGGAAGAGCATGGGGAGGATCAAGCGTCCGGCTGAGGCGGAGGTAGGCGTGGAGTAGCGTGCAACTACTGCATCTAATAAGTCTTTGGCGTTCACGACAGCAGTGAAACGTGGGCGCTCAGAAAGGGGAAGCGCATGACTAATGGCAAGCTGCGCTACAGCATCGTGAGAATCCCAGACAAAGCGAGCTAGTGCCGCAGCAGCAAAGGCCTCACTCTCAGCAGTGGTGGGGACAACAGTGAGGGGATCAGGCGCGGAGGGGCGGGGAATCAAGCCATCAACATACATA